CTGTTCACAGCAGGGTCGGCAGCTCGAAATCACCAGCTGCTTCTCGGGAGAAAGACGAGGCTTTCTACTCCTATAAAGAGTGACCGTCTCAGAAACTCACAGGGGTAGTTCTGCCCTGTCCTGCAGGGTCCCTAAGAGTCTGCGTGAACTTGACGGCAGTGAGTTTGGTTCCTTGGTCATGTGCGAGGTACGGGGGCAACAGGTGGGGACAGAGACACCGGGATACACCCACACTCTCGAAGGACATGAATCCATCTCATTAACTGGGTACCAAGGCCTGATTGACAACTTGGATTTTGCGACATCCTCTCACACTTTTTGGATTGTAGTCACCCTGTCAGTGGGTGAAGGGGTTGCTGTGGCCCTCAGGGAGGTCAGGAGCAGAGAGGGCCAGGGAACGAAGCAACTGCAGGCCAGCTGCTGTCGTTCTTGCCTCCCTGTCATCCAGTGCTCTTCCAGTCCGGCAGTGTCAGCTCAGCTTGTGCTGGAACCTGTCCCCAGCCGGAGCCCCCAGGGGAGGCTGCTCGGTGGGGTGTGCTGAGTATCCTCTCTCCGAAGGCAGAAGTCCCAGGTTAAGACTGAACCCTGCCCAGCTTAGATGGAACAGCTTTTCTGATCAGGTGATCAACAGAGGTCAGGCTGAAGTGGAAAGGGAAGCCAGGTGGGGATCTGAGTAAAGGGCATTCCAGATAGAGGGAGCAGTGGGTGCAAAGGCCCTGGGGCAGAGCACAGGACATGGCTTCAAACAGTTTAAGGGGGAAAACTGGAATCAAAACATAATGGACTAATTCCATGAATTTTTGGAAGCCCCCGTGCACTTTAGTGGCCAATTCTGCTGTGGTTCTCCCTCCCGCTGTTGAAGTCACCTATGTGCCTTACTGGGTGAACAGTAAGATGAGAAGGACGTGACCCCGGGTTATGACCAGATACAATGAAACTGCGGAATCTTTGGGCCAGGGCCCAGGATCTTTGGGCCAGGGCCCAGAGCCGCATGCAGCAGACCAGGGCCAGTCTGATGAGACGCTCACTCCACTGACCACTCTGCCTCACCTGTGCAGAGAGCCCCCAAACCTCCTCCCAGCGGAGCCTGCTTTCTTGAACTGCAGCTGCCTCTGGGCATGGCCTACAGAAACACACCGCCAGCCAGACCATTCTGGTTCACACAGACCCTGGCGGCCAGAGCAGAGGGAGGACTGAGGACTGAGGCCGTCAGTCTTTACAGAAGCCAAAAAGCCCCCCTCTTTCTCCTGAGGAGCAGCTGGCGGCTTCTGCTCTGTGGTTCATAGCCCGACACGTCACCTACTGGGGCGGGGACTGATTTCTTGTCCTCCATACTCATGTGTACTGTCCAGGTGTTCCACAATGAGTAAGAGGTATTTGTAAATGTATGTTGTTGTTATTGTTGTTGTTGTTGTCGTCCATACTCATGTGTACTGTCCAGGGGTTCCACAATGAGTAAGAGGTATTTGTAAATGTATGTTGTTGTT